TGCGGTGAGTTCCCTTTGCCATCTCAGCGGATTCGCCCTAATGTATCGCCAAAGTGTTAGTCCTCTGTAGCCCATCATGCCATGTCTCATTGAGGTTCATTGTGGGTTTGACTGAGCCAGTGCAGAAGCACGTGCCTCTGGTCTTCTCATCTCGCACAGGTGTGAAAGGAAACCTTATGAAAAGATGGATGGCGCAGGTCACACGTGGGGTATGATTGCACGTGTGTTCATGATTTTAAATGCCAAAATATGTATATCACGACTTACCGGGATGAGTTTCTCGACATCTGGCACGATGCGCGTAAAGTAATTGGATGCCATCGTCACGGCGATCAATTGACCCGCTTTGCCCGTCGATTGCAAGCACAACCAGGATTCGAGGAATTTCAGGGATGTAGGTATGTTGTCAAAGCAGGAAGACTGAACGGCAGGGGGGAAAAAAGAAGGAGTGGGTGGAAGTCTCTCCTCGTCCCCTGTTGAATTCCAGTGCAGTTGCGGTTCGAGACAAGACCCGCAGGGCGAATGAAGTGAAGGTCCGGACCCTCAAAGAATAAGAAATAGACCAGGCCCCAAGGTCGCTCAGTGGAAGCAACCGAAAGGATATTGTAATGAGAAAATTAGTGAGAGACGTGAATGCAATTCAAGAGTAGCTTCCTTTTTTTTCTTTCCTTCAGCCAAGGTAGGAGCACACGCACTCAATGTAGATATGTAGCTCTGGGTTACCCGGCCGATGTAGGTAGGAAGAATGAGAATGATCAGCTGGCTCAGCGTGATTGCAATCTTTTAGAATGTAGTCCAGGCCAGGCCAACTGTGCTGGTGGCCAATGGGCCAAATCAGCGAGTGAGAGGTTGTTTGTAAACAAAGAATGACCCCTTGTTAAACTTATTGTTCTTATTCTTGTTTTCTCTGGGTTTGGTAAGGGGAGAAAGATGTCGGAATGATGCGCGTGTTGCTTGCTTGTTTGTTCCTTTTTTTGTTCTTTTCCTTCTTCTTCTTCCTTTCATTTTCCTGTTTTCTTTTTTCCCCTGTTTTTCTTAATACTAAGCTTTTTCTTTGTCATTTTCTTTCTTTCTTTTCTTTTCTATTTACCCTAGTCCCAGTATAGTAACTAATCAGCACCTACAATAACCATTGGTGTAAAGTACAGCAGAGAAAACACAGTGGTAGCACAACAACAAAACCAGTGAGATACTTCTTTCTAGGCTGGGCCACGGCTGCAACCGAAGTCCATTGTTGCAGCACCTAGTGAAACTTACTGTGCAATTAATCTACTTACCTTCAGTAGAATTCCCTTATCCTGACTCCTTACCACAGTTGGCAGGTAATGTGGGGTAACCTAGAATTAAAGCTAGGTTAGCCAAAAGGGGGAGCGTGGCTCGGTTGCTTCAACTGCCATGATTTGTATGGAGAGGGAAGTGACTTCACTGGGATCCATTCAAACCATCAAGGTCGTTTATATACATGGCCTCGTTGGCAGTCACAGCTGCAGAACAGATGGCTCAGCATTGGCCGTAGTATCAACTATCTTGGCAGGAGGGGATATTGTTGTGGTAACAAAAACGGCCAGGACGTGTGATAACCTATCAAGTGTACGAAAGAAAGATGGCGGAAAGAACAAGTGAGCACTGATTGTCAAGTGGTGTGATCTGTGTCACGTGTGATTTGGGTTATCGACTGGACAACAGAAAACAATTTGCTACCTACGGTCCGAAAGAGTGATAAAACAAAAGTTGAGGGACTCAGATGACACACCCTAATAAACCTGTTCTCAAATTCATATGCTGCGGACAACCAGAATACTGAAATTGCTCAGATGAAAACCGGGGTCTTAAATTCCATGCGCATGCGGTAGCTAAGTGAAAAGAAAAAGGATGGAATGGAAACCTTCTCACAAACGCCGCGCCTATGCAATGATGACCTGGGAAGCAAGCCTCTAGAGCAGGCCGAAGGTGGAAACCGACACCGATCAATGCAGATGCGGATGCAAAAACAAGCAAATGAATGCAGAAACGAAAAACGAAGAAAATGCATCGCTCAGCAAGCGCCAGCCGCCACCAAACCCTCGTAAGCACGCTCAACCGTCCGCCCCCCCATGCCGGGAATCGCCCGCAGCTGCATGAGCGTCTCGACAGATCCGCCCTGCCCGTTCTCTCCCATCTGTCCCTCAAGATACTGCACCAAATCACGTGCCTTTTTCGGTCCTAAGCCCTGCAGTCCCATAATCTGGTCCACGTCGCACGAGTTGACGATGTCGAGCAGCGCCCGCGAGACAGGCCCGTCCTCTATTACCGATTCTGGACTTGTGTTGCCCGCAGCTTTAGACTTCTTTCCCTTGCGCTTCGTTTTGGCAAGGTAGCTCTCGTCATCGTCATCGTCGGCCTCGGCGCCGTTATAGATGTCATCCTCATCTCTGGAAATTGCGGCAGACCTTTTCACCTTCTTTCCGGAAGGACGCTCTTGGGCAGTGTGCCCATGCTCGGTGCCGCTGGCAGCTTGAGCTTCTCGCGTGGTTGCAATACGGGCCTTTAGCTTCTCGATTTTACCAATAAGTTTGGCCTGGCCAGGGAAGTATGGCAGAGCAAGCTCGTACATCTCCAACGCACTGGCATCTTCGCCCCGCTCCTTGTGCTGACGCGCCATCAGAAGATAGCGCAGTCCTTTGGAGCGCGTGTCGTCGTGGCGGCCGTCGTCGATGCGCCGCTCGAGAGCCTCAAGACGCTTCTTCACATCGTCGTCCAGGTCTCGCGGTGGAGGAGCTGCAGATTGCGACTGCGCCCGCGCTGCCAAGATTTCACTGACCTTCTTCTCTACCATAGCCTCGATCTGGTCTGCCGAGATAGCCGGCTGTGCTGGTTTGAGTTGCCGGCTGACGGCAGTGGGTCGAGCCAGCTCGGGTCGGGTGATCTTCGAAGGTCGGCTCCCACCGTCCGAGTCAGACGGGCGTTTGTGCTTGGGAGATCGCTTGACAGCCGTGTTAGCTGGCTGGACGATAGGGACAGGTTTCACCTTGTCCGTATAGACACTGAAAGCCTTGACCGGACGGTCGGCTGGCTTGACAGCAGCTGCAGCTGCCACTCCGGACGTTACGTTGTGAGCATTGGCTAGAGGCCGCAAGGGCTGGCGCGTGATGTTCGATCCGGGGTTGGTGGTCGAGCGAGGAGGCGCTTGCTTGTAGACAATCTCGTTCTCGATCTCGCGAACCTCGATCCGCTTTGCACGCGAGCTGACGTTCAGACTGCTGAGGGTGTCCAGGTGATAGCTTCGGAGGGGCGCCAGGTTGAGAATCATGATGGTGATACCATTGTTCTGTCCGAGAGACAGGATTCTGGTCATCTTGGATTCTCTGAACGGGATGCGGCGCTCGCCTCGGGAAATGGCGTCGATGCACTGGCTCAGCACGAACAAGCTCTTGTTGATAGCGGCGGATTCCACCAGGCGTTCCTTTCCATTATCCGTTCTCCGGTTGTCCTCTGAGCCGGCCAAGTCGATGGCCGAAGCAGTGCTCTCGCGTATCGTGTCTGCAGTGGTTTGCGTAACCTTGACGCGAAATATCGCGTGGCTTCTGCTGCTGTGCGCGTTCAGCTTGGTGGCAGCCGTGACGCGATTCGCATTGGCCTCTATGTATAGCCGCTCAAAGTCTTTAAGGTCTTGGCACGCGCGCTCCGACAGGCCAGCGACGACGGTCTTTCCGTTGGCTTCGGCGCGTAAGGGCAAGCCCGAGGGGGTCCGCTTCTCGGGTGGTTCGAGCAGGTCGAACACCTTGTCGTTATAGATCTCATAGTATGACAGAGCGACGTTGACGGTTGTTTTGCCATTCGAGTCCTTCATGATCTTCTTCGCCCTACGGAAGACGCCACTCAAGAGTCTCGGGATGACACCACGTTCGGTGAGCTTCAAGCCACCACGCATGGTGTGCGTCTTGCCTGTGCCGGTGACGCCATAGGCAAATATCGTCACGTCGAGGCCTTGGAAAAGCGATTTGAGGTGAGGGGCAACTGAGGAGCAGTACAAGTTAGCATACAGACGAAAGGATGAATGTAGACGCGTACAGGGGTCATGGACGGACCTTCAGTTGTAAATAGCTGCTCTTGTGTAGTCGTCTGATCGTACACGCTGTTGAACGTGAAGGAGTATTCCTCCGACTCGTTTCTGGGATTGGGTATTTTGACGACATTGGTGGTCTTGCCGTCGTCATTACTGGCGGGATGGACGATGATGTCTTTGTCGAGCTCCTTTTCGAGAAGTGGACGTATACGCGCGACGACCCTGACAGACATGCTGGCCGTCGATAGAAAAAGAGAAAGGAGACGAAGACAGAAAACCAGACTCGAAACTGACGCTTTTTTTTGTGGGAAGCAAATAAGAGCAAAATAGCAGCTGGAGCTTTGGTACGACTGCTCCAAGACGTAATTGATAAAACTGACGCTTTTTTTGTGGGAAGCAAATAAGAGCAAAATAGCAGCTGGAGCTTTGGTACGACTGCTCCAAGACGTAATTGATAACAGCACTGCTATGTAACCTAGGTATGATCCTGGAGTAATAAGATTTGGTGGACCACACAGCTTGCAAGCACAAGATTCCAATGCAAACAAGGGTTCAAGCTTAAAAGTGGAGAGCTGTTGTTGCCAGGGAGCAACGCTTGGCATACAGAGTACAGCTGGACACAGTCGTACAGTACAGCTGGACACAGTCGTACAGCACAGCAGTACTGAGAACAGTGTCCACTCTGTATTTTGACTGTAGACTAGTTCACTCTGTTCAGTTGACTGAGACTTATTGTCACAGGCAATGTATACTAGGTACCTTAGCTTTCTTAATCAATGCACCAACTTGATGTTGTAGTAGCTACGCAGATTCAGTTTGAAAATAAGCCATTGGACAAAGTTCATTTCTCAAACCAGTGGCGACGAACTACAGCACAAACCTGACGAGTTTTAACCTAGTAAAATTAGTGTTATAGATTTTGTTAAATTGCCAAACCTCCACAAACAAGTGACCAGGCCTCGTGGCCCAATGGCAAGGCGTCTGACTACGAGTCCGATCAGGAGATCGGTTCACTAAATGTAATCAGGAGATTCTGGGTTCGACCCCCAGCGAGGTCATTCTTTTGCAGTTTTTTCTTCCTCTTTATGAGTGAGCGTTACTCAACTCGACTCGTGTGTCTTCTTTCTTTTTTCATTATGTCGCGTCTTGACTCCTACAGACGTGCGGCATTTGCGTCTTTCTTTTTTTTTTTTTTGTTTAGTTTCTTCTATTGAGACAACCAACATGAGGAAGATTCGCTGTGTTTATCTCTTCGTACACTCCCTCCCATGTCTGACCCAAAGCTTGCAAGCCAGGCCTCTGAGAGGCCTCATTACCAGGCTTTTTCTCCAAATGAGGCAACAGAGTGCTACGCTCAGCAAGTATGAAGTCATGCTGTAATTCACGCTCTATCTAATAAACCTAACCTTGAAATAATGGAACATGTACCGGACATCTTCGCAAATGAGCTACATGGTGTGTGTGTATGACAAGAGAACGATATGAACAAGCAGCCAACCAACCACAAGCTATGTACAGGAGGTAAAATAAAGATCCAGAAATATGTGGACGGAATGAAATAAGTACTTAGCACTCAGCTAGTCCTGGCTGACTGAAAAAGGCCCCCTCGTCATCCAAGCCATATACCGCTTTTATCCTGAAAGAAAGAATTCATGAAAACATCACCGGAAAAAACATCCCATTCCGCCTCAAGACCAGCCGCCGACGGTGACCTTGAGGAGAGTGGGGCTGACGCCTGCAACGGTGCCGGCGGCGTTCTCGCCGTCAGGATTGACGTCATCGTAGGAAAAGGCGTATCCGAGACCGTCCTGCTCATAGTTGTGCACGATGCGCGAGTAGTGGTTGGTAGGGTCTTCGGTATAGTAGCTCTGGGCCGGCAGGGAAGGCTGCACATTGCCGCCGTCCAGGAGTAGAGTGCTGCGGGTGAAGGCGGCGCAGAGGCGAGGGACGATCGCTTGATGAAGAGGGGTGGCGTTCGGGAGGTTGGCGAAAGGGCCAGAGTTGCAGCCGTAGATGTCGATGATGGTCGGCTTAGGGAAGGCCATGTCATCTCCTGCGCAGTTCATCTCGTCGCCATTGACGCGGCAAGCAACGTCGCCTGCGCCGCTCTGCGTCGCGATTGTCAGGTCCTCGGCGGCGTACTTGGCCCAGACTTTGTCGATGTAGTCATTGTAGTAGGTGGACTGCCACTCCGGGTGGGAGGCAAGATAGATGTTAGACGAGAGGGCGCGGAGGGCCGTTCCGTCTTCGTTGTACTGGCAGAGCTTGTCCCACTCGGCACCGTCCTTCTCGGCCTGGGCCTTGAGGTCGTTGCAAATGTCCTCGACAGCATTCTCCTTTAAACCCTTGACGATCTGGGTCTGGTTTGTGGCGAGGGTCAAGCCCATACCCATGGCAATGCCGACCCAATCGACGTAGCTGATGTTGGCGAAAATCTCGCCTTTCTCCCAGTTGAACTCGACGAAGCCCCACTTGACGTTGATGGAGGGATCTTGCTCGTTCGTGACTGCGGGCTCGACAATGGTGGTGCCACTGTCGCCGGCTAGAACCATGAACTGCAGCTTGCCCTCAGATACCCAAATACGCGAAGAAGTCAGGGAGTCAGGAACAGTGACACTGGTGGTTTCACCCTTGGCACCAAGCTCAATCGCGATAGGACCGTCGAGAGGAACTGGAGTAGCAGAACCGCCGGCATCGGGAGTGAAGAATGTGCCATCCGGGGACAACATAACGGCGACCCCGTTGCTATCCTTGCCGGTAACATACAGATACATCTGGTTGTCCCCGAAGTTGTTGACTACATCGAGGCGAAGAGGGTTGTCCCCGTCGGCCAGGTGAGTGGATGTGCTGTTAATCGTGTTTTCTTTGGTGATGATGACATCTTTGGAGTTTCCAGGATGAACGATAAGGGGCCGAGCCAGCGAGCTGGCGACGAAAGCGACGACAGTGGCCGCAGCCAGGCTAAACATACCACGCATGGTGAAAAGATTGAAGGAAGAAAAGGAATGGAGTCTTGATCGACGGAAAGTAGAAATTAAACGGTGTACCCAGTACACGTAGTGAAGGAATGACAAACCGACTATACGGCAAGGAGTGGCAGTTCAAAGAGAGAACTATGTCGTCGAGAACACCAAAGTGGCTTGAAAATGAAGGTTGGCAATTGGACTAGGTTAGACGAGAAGATACTGGCCTTCATTATAAATAATCGTGCTTCCCATCATCGCTTCCTCCTCTCCCTTGGGACCGTCGGCGGGGCCACACGCACGGCTTGCCGACGACCCCAGAGGAACGTTACGGCGTTTATCCTGACAGCCCCTTTTAGCAGCCGATGGTAGTCCGAATCTCTCACGGCTCCCATGGTCTACACTTGGGCTCAAAATCCCTGGCCTTGAGTCTTTACCTTCCCCTTCAAGTCAATGTCAGCCTGTAGGCTGTAATTGGCAGTGAGGTGGACACACGGAGGTACTCAAGTCCTCATGTGGTAGGTAATAGCCGCCAGTTGCCACCAGCTACAGGATCTTGCCACGACCCATCTGAAACTCAGGGCTGGCAATTTGAGCCCTGGACCAGGGGCAGCAGGACTCCATGTCTGAGACGTTACGGCAGACGAGGCTCTCGATAAGCGAGCGGCGGTCATTGTAACAGCGGTACCTGGCCATGGGCTATGGATAAAGGATAAGCAGTTGGTCCGGAGAGCCTCCGTTGGCAGCGGCCCAGGACGGATGCCACCTCTGCAGGTCCACAGTCAGCAAATCAACCCCCTGGAGTTATCTGTAGAGCCAAATGCCTTTTCTGGGAGTGACATTGTGCAAATGGGCAAATGGACATGGGAACCTTGGTGAGCTTGAGTCTGTGATGGACTCGAACACTTGGGAACAGGTATGAACGAAGCTTCCAGCGCCGCTTCCTGTTGTTTGTTTAATATAATCAAATTTGCAATCAATCCAACATCCACTCCACATGAGAGACGATTTGTGGTGGAATGATTCCATCGTCCTGATTGGTACTAACGCAAAGCCAATGTTAGATCCGTGTTACCCACTGGCCACAGAGCAGGGAGGTAACACCGAACAGGTATGTCTTGTGTGTATGCTGTAGAAACCAAAGGCCGAAATCAGAACTTCCATCAAGTGATTCCTCGAGCCGAATAAGTGCGGCGAGCCATGGTTAATTGGTCGTCGGTTACATGTTTCATGCTGCCCACTTAGGAGTGTATTCCAGGGGCTGGACGATCCAGTTTGCCAACTACCCGTCATGTGAGACGAGGTGGTTTGTTACGGTAGATGAGCCGTGAGTAGGTACTTGTTGAGCTGTTCTGGTTGCCCGTAGGTATACGGAGGCAGAAGAAGATGAACTTGACGATAGTTCCCAGGCCGTCTAACCTTAATCTACTGCTGTAGAGTGAAGATCGACCGTCAAGGATCTGTAACGGTTTTGACAAATGATGGTTCTTGCAAGAGACATGGTCAATGATCCTGCCGGACTGCCAACTTCCCAATCTGTTAAATCCTCTGATGATCGCCTGTCAGAAAAATGGAGGAAGGAAGGTACATATGCAAGGTACCGATTCAAAATAGCAGCAGGTGTATCCACCCACCCACATTTCTCCAATCTCTAGGCCCTTCTTGGTTAGTGGTATTGAAGCACACACCAGACACATGCGTTTGATACACGCTGTGGCTGATGCTGACTCTGGCATGTCTGCACATCTGATGGCCAGTTCACCTTTCGGTTGGGCAACCCTTGGCACCATGGTTTCAGTAACTGACTGACCTATTACACAAACCTTTGCAACCCTCGCAACTGAACATGAGACTCTTTGATGAAAGGAGCCGCAGCAATGCTTTCAGCAAGGCTGGAACAGGTGTCTTGATCTTCCCCTACCTCGAAGCGCTCCAGGGTAGACGGAAGTTGGGTACATATCGTGGCTTGTTGGCACTGACGGCACACCATATCACAGTACCTCCTCTCTTACTCAAGCCTCAAGCCTCCAAGAAATCTGTGCAGAAACATGTAGGTAAGGCGAGGAACTGGCAGCTGGGCGACGAACACTTTTGCCCAGAACAAGTGATTATGGGGCCAGCCAACATGGAGTGCACTCTTCGGAGTGTATTGCCATATTCCGTATCTTCCTCGCGACGACAGAGTCCGATCGCGAGGTATTGATGGGGAACAGTGGGATTGGGGCATCATCCCCGAGCTAACGCCGAAAGGGCCACTTCCATAAAGTCCTGCCTCTTCTGGATCATTTCCACGACAGAGTCATCTACCTATCTAACCTTACTCTCTGACTTGAAAAGAGAAGGATCTGCACCCATTCCTTCCAAACGAGATGGCATGTTCGTAACGGTGACCTTCCCGCTCAGTGAGTCGAATTGGACTGCAGATCCGCAGGTAGCGCAAGCGGTAAGTATCTAGTATCAAGTCATGGCCATAACAGAAACTTTGTGCTCATCATTTTTAGTTTCAGAGATTAGCCATCTTCCCCATCCTTCAGCCTCTGCGGCGAGGAGCTTCGCTTGCGGCACGAACATCGAAAGGCGAATGATTCGAACGGGGCCCAGCTTCTCGATGTGATATCGCTGGAATAATGACCAAGAGTGACCACGACAGTCTGTGTGGTGAAGGCCCAACTTGCCGCCGGATTCTCACAGCCTACAGGCAAGGTGGTGACTTGCTGGGCCCTGATAGCCATGGTACCCGTATAAGCGTGTAACGTCACAGCCATACGGAGGAAGCGGCATCTTCCGCCGCAACATCATATTTCAGCATCGACAATTTCAAAAGTGCATGCATGGCCTCTCATTTCAGAGTTCCTCCTTTGGCCGGCTTCGAATCGGGTTAATTGAGCTACGTGATCGCGACCGATGAGTGCTTATAGCATGTAGCGTTTAGCAGAAACTAACAGAATCACGACCTGCCAGGTCCTTGAAACAAGATAATTAACTTATTACAGCAATCTTCAGAGAAATAATGCCAGCAAAAGCAAGGCCAAAATCGACGCGCATCGAGGGGAACGGAAGCAAGTCAACGTTATTGATACTCGGTTAATGATTCC